TGATCAAATGTAATAATAACAGGAAATATGCACAGGGCTTGTTATGAGAGGCGATGTTCTGAGTGCCTCAGATGTATGAACTAATTCAATCCTCATCACAATCCTGGGAAGCCGATGCTCTAATTAGCCCCAGTTTACAGATAGGAAAACTGAGGCTCAAGATCACACAGTTAGGTGGTGGAACTGGGATTCAAACTCAGGAGGTCCATCTGAGTGTCTTAATGACTCACTGCATCTCATTTTCTACACGCGATGCTATGAAGCATAAGCTTCTACTGGGGTTACTTTAAAAATGACAACACATGAAGTCAAATTACTGAGCATATCGAAAATGCACAATTTTATGTTTAAATATATGTCTTCTATAGTTTGCTTTTTAGGTCTGCACACGCATACACGGATGACCATCTACGCTACGAAGGGCTGTGCTTTCTGGGAACCTTCCTCATGTAGGACCAGCACTCCTTCCTGCCCAAACCCCTTCTCTCCAAGCCTTGGCAACTTGCCTTGCTTCTGAACCAGAGTGGCTCTAAAAACGACTCACAGCATTACCGTGATGATGAAAGTTGGCTGCTATCACATTACCACTCACTAAGGAGACCCTGTGCTGATGGATACAGACAGACTGCAGCCCCCAGACGCTCAGCAGGCTGGACTGAAGCTGGCTCTGGTTTCCCCAGGGGTTGCATGAAAAGCTGGTTAATATCAGCAGGAAGTATGAAGAAATCAACTCCCTCTGACCAATCAGAAAGGAGGTGGGCCGGAACCAGCAGATAAAAGCTCACCCTTCCTCAGGAGGCACTGTCCCATGGAGCACATGGCCTCTCTGGAGGCGTCTGAAGCCACTGAGCAGCTGGCGGGACTGGAGTAGCCACGGTCAGCTCAGGAGGCACTCATGACCTTGCATTTGCTCTCCGTCCTTCCCTGTATCATCAGCTTTTTCCCTCACTCATGCTTCCCTGGGATGGCAACACCCTCACGCCCATAAAATGTGACCACATAATCTCTAGGCTTTGTGTCCTAGGGGACCTGGGCTACGACATGAGGGCTTTACTTGAGATGATCAATTTCATAACATAAAAATGCAGTTGGCAGGTGCAGCAAAAGGCACGAGTGTTCGAGAACATTGGTCATCAAAATCTCTTCCCCTCGCCCCCACAGAGCTTCTGCAGTAGGAACCAAAGAATTGTACATATTTTTTAGAAAAGGAGTAATTGTTTCAATGTTTTATATCCATAATTATATCGTCAATGTTTTTATATGTAAGGGCTCTCTTTGGTAAGATTCAGGAAGTCCTTCTAATTCAGGTTGCTGGGTTCCTATGAACAGAACAAAAGAAACCCCTTCAAAGGTCAACTTATGTAACTATGGGAAAGGGGACAACTTAGAGCGAGGTCATTCTTACAGAATTACCAAAAAATGGATTCCATTCAAAGATCACTAGAAGGGCCAGACGAAGTGCTATTATCAGTGGGTAGCGCTACATAACATCAGTCCTTAAGAATTTATGGGTCTAAGCTGACTCTTCCATATTTAATGGACACAGTTAGGAATCCGAGCTGGGTATTGCTCTGGGTTCTTTAGTATGGTGATGTCATTTTAGTTACGTCAGAGCCCATCTGGGACAGAACACAAGTTATTCTCCTACGTCTTTATTACCGAATGTCAACTCTACCACAGATATATGTTGGGAGCCATGAGAGCTGCTGAGAGCTGCATGCTGCTTGCTGCAGCCTTGAGAGCTGCTTGCCACTAGATACTTTCTGCAGCCTAAGCAAATGCCTGTGCAGATCCTGATAGTCTGGTAAGAACAGCAAGTTCTTGAGAACAAGGAACCAGGCGCAGTTACAGCCTTGATAAAGTATACTTAGTATAACTGCTTAGCTAGCAGGAGGTTTGGCTTATCTAACAGGGACAGAACAGGGACAGAGGGTGATATTGTTAATTATATGTGATTGTATGATCTAATGCTTTGTACGCACGTAGTGCCTCCCTTAAATATGCTATGTGAAATAAACTCGGGGCTTCAGTATTTACTGGAGTCCTCCCGGTAACTCTCTCTCTTCTGTCTCTTTTTTTAATCCTAACGCCCCCCCTCAGGACTGTTCGAGATATTGGCTGGCTCCGATAAGATATATTTAGTATTTAAGACATAAGGAACCCCTTTAATCAATAATGCAGACTAATAGAGCCTCAGGGACTCATCAGGAAATTCATCTGTGAATTAGAAATTGGGCGTCTGCCAAGGGATGTGCAACTTGTCTAATATTTAACAAAGATGTTCTCGGAGGCAAGTCAACACACATTCTTCTGGTTTACTCAAGCTCCACTGTCATTAAATTAGTTTTTTCAGTAACCAATAAATCTGTATTATAGTACCTTAATATTCCACAGAAATGAATTCACTGCATTATCATTTAATATCATACCCTAAGATTTAATAGAATGGCAATAGAAGAAGCAACCACCTGAAGAATGTTTCTGTGTAATTTGCAAAATCATAGTTTAAAAATGTGGTCTACTCTGGTACCAAAGCTGTTTGATAATCTCGGTGACAGCAAAACCCATCATGCAGAAAAATAAAGTTATTTAACTTAAAACATTATCATTTATTTGTTTCTATTATTATTTGCTTCGGCTTAGGAAAAATTCCAAGGTAAAGATAGCATTCAACTGCAGTAATTAACATTTTGGGTAATTGCTAAAATGTTTCTTGCCTTTCAATGAATATTGGCCTCTTTATAAGATTTAACTGTCTATTTAATAGATTCAATACTGAAGTAGGCTCAAATCTAAAAAGGTTATCTATAGTAATTAATTAAATATGCAATCAATTATTAAATAAGTAGTTGTAGGAAAAATATATTTATATATATTATAGATGAAGCAGTGGATTAAATTATCAAGTTCAATCAGGCAAGTTTTAACAGGAGCATATGACTGAAACATACATGTGATGGCAGAAGACCTGGCAAATTGGCATTTTAGCCCCCCACCCCCCACCCCACCCCTGTTTTCCATATTTGTTGAGCTTTACTTTCTCCCTCATGGAAATTTTCTTATAATGTCCCATTTTTTATATCTCAAATTATTTTTTGTAATTCTAGGTCAAATTATTTTTCTCGGCTCATTTTATAAGCACTCAGCTCTTCAACATATTAAGAGATAGAAATAATCATCAAGTTCTTCCCTAGAATGAAATGCTAAAAATCAACGCTAAAGTTGTGGAATATAATCTCCAATTCCTAATTGAAGGGATCACTAGCACAGTGGAAGGGCAGGCTTATTTCCAGTGTCACCAGGAATACCATTTCTCATGTCTCTTTTCAAGTGACAAGACTGATATAAAAAAAAAAACATCAAGAGGGATGAGGCCTGACGCTGCACTACAAAGTCTCAGGTTAAAAGTTCACCACCTGCGAGGGTTGGACTCCTTTATCCAAGCACAGTGTGCAGCTCAAGGTTAACACGCACCATGAAATTGCAAATTGTGAGCTACTTAAATTGCAAGAAGAATAAACCCGTGTCAAGGAAGGGACACTGAAGCGTCCAACTGCATTGGAGCTAGAAACTTGTAGAAAGATTGCAAGACCTTTTGTAACAAAAGAATCTGAGATGTTGGGTCTAACAAAAAGGTAAATGTCACAGAAACCGAAACTCAGACCCAGACACATACACACACATATACAGTTTACCTTGCTGCGCTGGGATCCTGTGACCTTAGGAAGGATGAGGACAGAAGCAAAATAGCAATAAACAATTGCTCTGAAGACAGCTGGTAGACCACAAGTGGTTGCGCTTCAGAAAAACAATGTTATTCACTGCTCACAGCCCATTCTAATGTACCTCAGTTTTTTATAATAAAGATGGACTTGAGAACAGAATACACATACATTAGAAAAGATTGTAGTGCCGTATAAGAAATTAAACTTAGGAAATTTTTCTCAGTCAGAAACAGTAGTGTTTCTTGTAGTGGGTTATTCTTGAATGAGTCTGTTTTTGTATTTTATACCCACTGACTTCAATACAGCAGAGACGCTCACATCGAATTGTTTCTGAAAGAGGCACTAACCATCTACGTCCAGTCCTCACCTCCACCTTTTTGTGCATCCACTGTAATTAAAGACTTACTGTTGGATCCTAATATATTTCCAGGCTTGTAGCTCAAAGGCCAGACATGTCCATCAATAAAAAAATGTAAAAATTAAAAAGAATCTAATCTATTTCCTTCCACTTAATTTCTTTTTGAAAAGTCTAAAATCAAAAGAAAACAAAAACAGAAAAAAAAAACAATAAATAAGGAGAGTGGTAATTAGAACACCTAGTTTTTCTCATAAAAAGCAAAAGTACAATCGAAGCAAAAGGGGGGAAGTAATATTCACTTTCTTTGTGGCTAGTTACCATTGAGCAGTATTTCAAATTACGCAGATATTTAAAAGCTGAGAATGCTTGAGAAAATAATCACAAAATAGAAGGTGGTCCTAGGAATAGACGCACTCTACCTCATGCAAGCAAACCACACCATGTGCCACCGTCTACATATGTACAGGGAATGAGTGACCTAATTGGGCAGAAGTCATGAGAAGTCAAATCTTTTTTACTTCTTCAATTCAGAAAAAAAAAATAGCAAACCATGGGTTTCATTAAGAACTCAATGTCATGTTGCTCATCAGTAAATATTTTCCTCATGTGTCTGTTGGAAATTTCAGATCACAGCATTCACTGAGATGAGAACAATTGGAATCCATCTCATCTCGGAGAGTTCTCAGGAGCACTCATTCTGAACATATGGGTTCACTGGATTATCTAACTAGTCTAGGTCCCTCGATCTTAACTTCAGCAAATGGGAGGACTCAGGTTGTCCCTCCAGCTTCTGACATGCAGTTCCTTGACACAATAAGCTGCGATAAGCCATGAAGCAAGAAACATAAATGTCAGTTAGAAGCTATGAAACAATGCTTCCAAGTCGGAAAAGGCAAATCTAGAAAGATCCATCTTACTTCAAAACTCTTCACTTCTTCTTCACCATCATCATCTTCTTCATCATGACAACTCTGAGGCAAGAAAAAAAAAAGGCCAACAGGATTAGACTATGTGGAAGCAGACAGTACAAAAGAATTCAGCATAAATATAAAATCATGCGCATTCATTTCTCATCGACATTGTTTAAATATATGTAATATATTAGGTGCAACAAGCTTAGATGACATCCTCAATGAATTCATGACCTGACAGAAATATGTTACTGTGCTTTTACAAAATTAAAATGCTAAATTACAAATTTTATACATCTCATATTTAGGAGGGCAATATCATACTACACACTTACTACTTGTTCATGTATTTGCCTCATTCAAACCAAAACGTAAGCCTTACAGACAAGCATCACTGGTTTCTCTTTAGGCTGCTATTACAATTCACTAATACAGATACTTACAATAACTATGGATTAAAATTAATACAAAGCAGTGTCCATTAATTAGAGTGAATCTTGTGCTCCCTTTTTAATTTTTTATTTTATTTAGTTGAAAGGAAAAAAAGTGAAAATGTAAGTGCTACTAATATTTTTTTGTAGAAAAATTGTAAAACTATTATTTTAAGTTATATTTCCCAGAAATGAGATAGGCACTGTGCTAGTCCATGCATATATTTTTTCATCTGATTCCCACAGCTGAAATTCTTTTAGGAGGCTGAGTGTTGCAGGGCTTAGGAAAATGGCCTTGGGATGCAGAGCGCCTGGTTCAAATCCTACTGCTAAAAAAAAAAAAAAAATCCTACTGCTGCCAATCATTAGCTGTTTGGCCGAGGGCAAGTTCCTTCACCTCTCTGGGTCTTGTTTCCTCGTATTGAAGATGGGAATAAGAAAAAGAATACCCAAGTCTTGAGAGGGTGACATGAATTAATGTATATACATTCTTTGTAACTTAGAAACAAGTGTCTGAAAAATAATTCGCTTTTAATAAATCTCAACTGCTATTACTATTGTGATTTGGAATTAGAAGTATCACATGATGACAGGAAGCTGGTCATTAACCAAACCTGTGGAAGGAAGAAACCTGTCGCTCTTCAGTTAGATTGTTCCAACCGTTCTAAGGATTTCTTATGATTGGCAAGTACTCAGTGTATCAGTGACGCACATGGAGGCAAGGGGTTAAATGTAAGTTACAAATCAAAAAAACACCTTTAATTCAATGCCTCACAGTACTTTGAGCATGGAGATAGAATTGGGATGGGGAGGAGGTTACAAATGTGATCCTTCCAACAGCTCAGTGACAATTTCTACAAGGTTTCTCACATTCTTTTGTTCATTCAGCAAATATGTACTGGGTATCACCCCTTCCATCTAGAATAATAATAATAATAATAATAATAATAATAATAATGGTTTGCAAAAGAGAAAATAAAGGGGACACAGGCCTGTGACAGTTTCACTATGCGGAAAGGTGTTACACAGCATGTTCTACCAGAGAAACAAAGGTGTTAATTACTCATTCAGAGTGCAGGAAATGTCCCACTATGCAATAATGTCATCTTGGCTCCCATGTCATCAGTTAACCAGGAATTTTGAAACTAAGAACCCACGAGAACTTCAGCACAACCCATCTGGAGGGCAAACCAGCGGTCCTCCTTAAATACTGTACATCTCATGCCAAATACAACGGAATAGATCTTATCTGTGCCTTCAGATGACTAATGTCATGTTAATAATTGGGAGTGGAAAACATGGCCGTCTAATCGGGTAACAGCGTGTTTACCATTTAAGCAAGGTAGAATAGTAATATAAAATGTCTCTTAAGGGTACAAAGTTTTAAATTTTCTCCAATGTATTTTCTCCTATGTAAATGTCATTACCTTCTGAAATACTGGGAAGGAACAAGGTTTGAGATTAAAATAGAGAAATTGTCATTTTAAGCTACAATGATATGCTTTTAAGCTATAACATTCATACAATATGTTTGCTTTTGTATAAAGGAATTTAGAGCTCTAGCTGACAAATACGTTTTACAAAGAATTATGCTGAAATAAAATACTTTAAACTTTTTTTTAAAAAGTCTTCCTAAGGAAATTTAGCGAGATTTGTTTCTGATAAGGTTAAAAATTGTGTGTGTGTGTGTGTGTGTGTGTGTGTTTTAAACCTATTAAGCCTGATCTATGTGGCAAAAACGTGTATCTGACAAAATTCATCAAACCCATAAACTACTTGAAACTTCTACTGATTGGCATGAGGGTATTCTGGGGCCCTAAGCAAACTATGGCAGATTTCTAGCAACTTTTTAAGGTACTAGACAGAAACAGAAGGATTTATAGGCATAGGAGATACGTTTCAATAGCAAAGTGCATCCATGTAATATATATGATAATGCAAAATAAGCAGGGAGTTCTATAAATCCTGATCCTGAAGCAGAGGATTTAGTTTTTTGGATCAAAATGATAAATTCTAGGCAAGGAGGAGTGATAGCACATGCCAGGAATGAAAAAGGGAATAAAATCATACATGAAGAGGCAAAAGCATGGAACAGAGAATTTAGAAGAAAAAAATGAGGGAAACTAAAACAGAGTGCTTCAGGCCCTTCAGGTATCTAGATCAAAGTTCAGAATGGGCATGAAAATACATAAAGCAGTAATCAGAGGACTTCACCTGGCCAGTATCTGCTGGAAATTCCATTCTGCAAAACAAGTATATTTTATACACTCTTAAGTTGCCTTTCTGAATGTGTGACTCCTCAGAAGATGGAAGAAACAAAACTGGACATTTTAATGTGGATTTAAATCTGACTAAGAGCTAATGGGTGAGAAAGAGGCAAGAGAACCTTCATCAGAAAGTGACACTGGCATTTTATTATTTTAACCAACAAAGAATGAACCCATGAGCATAACTTGATGTGTACCTTAAAATTTTTGACAAACATTAGTAAGAGAAGGAAGAAGAAAAGGTTTCCTTAGGCAGAAACTCAAAAGAATAAAAACTCAAAATATTGAGTTTTTAATTTATGATGGTATCATTCTAGACTCTTCCACATGGCTATTTTGTTCAAATTGGTAAAACCATTCCATTAGGATGAAACAGCTTAGACAGTTCAGGAGGGATGAGGGGTAGTAAAGGGGCATCCTGAGAGCCAGGCATGAGTGGCCATGATGAGGACAAAAGGGGGTGGCAACAGCGAACCAATCTGGATGCACTGGAAATTCTGTGATAAGATTTTTTAAAGAGGAGGTATACATGATGGAAGCAGGGGGTTTGAAAGATAGGCAGAAAAAAAAAAAGAAAAATAATACTAACCTAAGGTTTAGAATAAAGTGTGGCTTGAAAAATACAAAGATTTAAAATAATTTTTAAAGATAGAACTAAAGCAAGAGAACAAGGAACAGCATGTACATGATTTAGAGCAGATGCTGTAATAATTAATAATAATAATAATAATAATAATAATAATAATGAAGTACAGAGCTACTCATTATCTGTTTGCTTCAGACTAACCACCAAAGAGAAGTGATTTTTAAATATAAACATCACCTAGCCAAGAGAAATGAAAGATAAGACCACAGCAAAATACCATTTTACACCTATTTGATTGACAAAAATTAATAAATTGTAAATTTACAAAAGTCTGGATGAATCTTACAAAACTATTAAGTGAAACAAGTCAGTACCAAAAGATTACGTATAACATACTGCCATTTGAAATGTTAAAAACTAAAATAAAAAATATATAATTATATGTGTAATATATGTAAATATGTAACATATGTGTTAATAAATAAGTACAGTAAATGAAAACTTTATAAAAGAAAAGCAAGGGTATCTTAAACATAAGATTCAGGCTGATGGGTTCCTTGTGTAGGGAGACAAGGTATGAGTTAATGGGGGGACCATAAGATTACATATAAGTTATTGACAAAGTCTTAGCTTTTTTGGTGAGTGGTAAGTTTATGGGTATTTCCCATAATACAATGTAACGTAAAATAATGTGTTATTTCTACACTATTAGAAATAACTAAATAAAATGAGGCCACTAATGAAAGAATGATGAGTGTATCGTGAATTCAGAACTATGATTAACTTAATTCTGTGTTCCTATGCTTAAAAAAACAATTAAGACTGTAAACAAAAACCTAATTAAGATGTAAATGATGCCTTCAAAAGGTCCTGCAATGGTGAAGGAAGACAAGAAGACAGTGTCTTGAAGTGAGTTCAAGGTTCAAGACTCAAGGCAAAGATAATTATATGCAAAACGACTGTTTGTAAACTGAGATTCACGAAGGCCAAGAGAAAATTCAGACCACTGGGTGCCAATTTTCAAAATGAAGAAAGACAATCCAGAAACTGCAATTTAAGAAGCTTGATATTAATCACCAAAACTGTCACCTTAGATAAACATGGGAAAAGCATACATGTCAAGTTTGTGGTTAACATAAATGGACAGAGGTATCTGACACTGGATGATGGAACTGAACTTTAAATATTTTGACCTTGGGCAATAGTCTGATGCTAATTAGAGAAATGAAGTCATATACTTAATTAAAAAGTACAGCAATGTCAAAATACAGGCATGTGAGACTAAACTCATAAGTGACATAGGTTGACAGGCAATCTCAAAAGGAAACGAACATGTGATCTGGCTGCCAAAAAATTAATGAATTCTTACAATTTATTGCAAATATACAGGATCCAAAGTCAAAATAAGTGAGGCCAGAATACCAATACGGACTGCACAGGTGACTCGTAACGAGCATACTGTGTTCAATGAATTTCTGGGTGGCACATCTTGACAAATTAGAGCGTGACAAAAGCCAGGCATTCCTGCCATCTTTGAATTAGCATCTGGTTTCTGAGGGTTGCTAGAGAAAAGTCACACAGCCGGGAAGACCAGACCTGCACACTCACGGACAACCACCTGAACCAGGCTTTCTACACCCCACATCCTGCTTTAGTTTCCGGTCAGTACCCCACGCCCATTTCCACAAGGCGGAAACATCCTTCCTCTTCTCTTTTAACCCAGAGCCTTTTCAACTCTGGATTTCAACCCATTCATTGACCACAAAACCTATTGAGTGAGTGATGATCGCAAACATTTTTTTAAAGTTAAATAAAATAGAAGATATCAGATTCTACTGCTCATAGGACAGGTATAATTTCATGAAAATTTTCTTTTTGACAAACCTAATTTTGTTTCTAAAATATGCTGGTAAAATGTATTTCTTACTGTGGGATACACTTTAAAATAATGCTGGAAACCATGCCATTCCCCTTCCACTGTGCAGCCTGTCCTGTCTCCCTGCTACCACCGACATAAGGCCTTGCTCCATAAGTTAGTCCCCTGCCCATTCTATTATGTCCTTCCCACCAGGATAGAAGCAGCTTCAAATCTCTCTTGAAAAAAGTCAAGAAATAGCAAATGAACAAAATAAACCCCCTTCAACCTCCCACTTCCATCTGGATATTTGTCACCTTCTTTCTCCTCCTTCTCAGTCTTCTCAGTAATGTCTTCGACCCATCTCCTCGCATGTGACTCACTTCCCCACCACATGGCACTGGCACCAAGGGGCCCTCTCCACCGTCCTCTGAACTGTTCTGACCACGGTCACGTGATGAACATGTAATCAGACCTCACCTTCCTAACCCCTCAGAATATGACCTTGTAGACCACACACTTACTCCCACTAGAGCCTACCAACGCTCACTAAGATTCCCTCTGATTTTGTTCTTCTTTATGGGCTTCTTCTCTCCATCTCTTAAGCATCCGTATCCGTCGAGGGTCGGTCCTTGGCCTTCTGCTCCTCTCATGCCGCCCTCTCTGCCTGAGCGAGATCACCCACGTCTATGGCTGCAATGACCTTGGAACTGATGGAGCCCAGGTCTGTACTCACTAGCCTTCCCAGAGATACTGAACATCAGACATAAACGTCTCATCACATGGGTGGCATCTCCACTTAGCTGTCTCACACACGTCTTTAACTGGCGTGTCCAAAATTGAATTTGTCATCTTTCTCCTTCACTCCAGGCCTGCAATTATTCTGGCGCTCCTCATCTCAGCACAGGGCAGCCATCTACCCAGCTGCCCCACTCAGAAGCCTGGGCGGTATCCTGGCTCCGCTTTTAGCCTCGTCCCCTCACTCATCCTCCAGCTCTTTTGTAATCATCTGTTTAAATTTTGTCTTCTCCATCAGATAATTAACTCCAAGGAAGCAGAGTGTGGGTCTTTCTTCCTTATTCACCATGTTATCTCCAATACCTTGATGCCCAGGGAATATGTGTTGAATGAATAGATAGCTGGAAAGTTAGTGAGTTCCCCATAAATAAAATGGTCAAGGAGGAAACAATGATTGCTTGTCAAGGAAGTTAGAGGAATGCATACAAGCGAAAAGCTGAGATGAAACCCCCTTAGATTTCTAAGGTTTAATAGCATTTTATTTTCATCCAGAAATACATACTTTCTTTGTCAGATGAAAATGATTTTCCTTTATTAAAATTAAACATTAAGACTGATGTTTATTTACCTTTGCCATAATATCTGCATAGGCCATGTATAAAAAATCTTCCTCTAGTTTGCTATGGAAAACAAGAAAAAAAAATCGTTTTAAACGGGAAGCTAGTCATATGCAAAATTTCCATCACTGTATAAAATAACCTTATTTTTTAATAAGTACACCCTTTCAAAATGAAAGAAACACAAAAATTAGGCAAAGTAATCATTCTAAATAGCATCGAGTCAGAAAGTGAAGGTATCAGACCTCCTAAACAGATGCCCCACCTTACCTTCCAGAAGAGGCTCACTCTCAAGTCTCACAAAATAAAGGGTCTATTGATTTGCACACAAAAACAATTACTTTAATTTTCTTGAAATTACTAAAGTCAAAACAAGCAAATTTAAATGAGGTAGGGGCTTTTGACAGCAGAAGTGATATATGATGAAAAGACTCCCCGCATTATTATGCTATAAAATCATCATACTGTTTTCTAAACTGTAATAAAAGTTTAAATATGTTCATTATCTTCTTTATAAGAAGTACGGAAACCATTAAGTCATGAAAAAAAGTTTCCATCAAAAGTACCTAATATTTGCCAAGTTATTTTAGCAGTTTTAAACTTCAGCCATCAGGAAAATTTGCTTATGAGAAATACCTCATTACCTGCCAATGCCAGACAGTTGCTCTATGCTTAGGGATGAGGTGATTTTGTTAGTTAGGAAATAATCAGAAAGAGAGAAATTGTGAGAGAAGGAGGGACCACGTAGGCTAAGAGGGAGAAATGCACATTATTACAGAGTGCATAGACGCCAACCGGCCTTTCAGGACTCAAGAAGACGTGGGGAAGAAACTGAGAATTAAATCCTCTCCTAGCTTCTGCAGAGAATGAGACTGACAGGGGCCTGCAGCAGAGCAGGCTCTCCTTCCCGTGGCAGGGAAGGGGATCATGGTTGTTTAACCTCGGCAGCGTCTGTCTAGGAGCTCATCTATGCAGCGCCCCTTGCAGGGAGCAGAAACGGAGCACATTTTGATCACCCAGCCCCCGCACATTTGCTACTTAGCTCCACAGAGGTTTGTCCTTCATGGTGTTGGTGAATTCATATGAAAAAGACTGTAGGCACCAAGAAAAATGAGCATGCCCTTAAAGCAGACCTCAAAGAAACTTCCCACTGAGATGATGGCTTACCCATCCCTAAAGGTTTCCTAAGACCCACCACCGTGCAATGGCAATACAATCTACTCAGGACATTTTGGGTCCATTGTGGGTCCATACGTTTTTGGGGACTGGAATTTGCTTTGTGCTCATTTATTTATAAAGGCTGTGAGTGATAAAGAGAAAAAATCATTTTATAAGAGGATTCAGAATCAACTAAATCAGCTAATTACAAAGTGATGAAAAACTAGAGTAGATATTAAAGCTTGCAACTCAATGAATGTCAATCCCTAGGTGTGTGCCAGACTAGCCCTATCTCTGAACGACTCTCTCTCCTAACAAGGGCAAGATGAAACTGAAACATGAACACGTGACACACAGACCCGCAGACATGGTTTCCTTTATCTGTCCTCCTTATGTCTGACATGGCCCTTCCAACCATACCATTTCTCCGTTAAGGCTGTTCGGCTAAACAGAAGGATCAGCTGGTGCAGAGGGTCCACTCTCTTAGTAGCTTCATCTTCCTCGGCAGGCTCTGCTCCAGGTTTCTACAAAACAGTCACATTTATAAAATTTCACAATTCAATGAAATGGTCACTCAAATCTAGGAGCAACAAATAAAAGGAAAACCTTCTCTCCAGTTGTGACAGTACGTGTATGAGTGGGGGGGGGGGCGGGGGGTGAGCTGTGTGAGTGTGTCTGTGTCTGTCTGTATGTCTGTCTGTCTGGGTTACATTACCAATGCAAAGCTATGCAGCTTTAAAAAAAGGTATTTGTTCATTGCACCAAAAACATGATTGGGCAAAGATGTCTTAAATCATTTAACAATTCTGAATGCTATTCTTATAAACAGATTCCCAGCTAATTGAAAGTGCATTTGCTACATAGATTTCAGCTTTTGAGAGGGCTCAACTGACACAGATTTGGAATAAAACACTAAGTCACCCCAAGGATAAAAATTTAGTTCACACAGCAGTTCAAACTGACTAGTGAATGAAACATTTTCTTTGCCTACACAATAGTCAAAGGGTGCTAAATGAGTTCATGCTTGAACCACTTACTTTTTTTTTTCATTTTCAGTTACCTTTAAGACTTAAAAAATCAGTTTGTAGTACTGGATAGCACTTTCACCATGAGGAAAATTATTAAGCATTTTTTACTGACTGTGCAATTAATCAATCTTGTCTTGTTGTTGAATGACAGTGAATTTTATTTCTTCATTGACTGACTCATTCAGACTGTTTTTTGAAGGTTTTTTTTTCCTCTACATAAATGTTCTCTCCCAGCTTTAAGGTTTAATGTTGCAGGAACTGGGTAAATTTCTACAATACATCCAATATTCTACATGTTGTTTTGGTTATAAAGACACATGGAACTCATTTAAAATATCTAGAAATGATCAGAATGCAGCTTTCATGAACTGAATTAGTTTTTCCTTTTTATCCCCTGATAATTTATGAGTTAAGAAAAATAACTTTTAGAAAGAAGGTCTTTAACTTGGGAATCATGAAGGCTCTAACTAGTCCACACAATCCTGTGGAATGGGGATGCTTGTAAAGCTCCCTGAGAAGATAGCTTTGGTCAGATTTTTAACCATGTCCACAGCCTATAAAAAATTAAAACCATGCTCCCGGGTGCCTCCTCATAAGCATGAGTGACAAAAATTCTCCTTGCTTTCTCCTGCATTTATGTGACTTCAGTCAACGTTCTCTGCTCTGCATATAGTTTTCAAACCAGCTACTTTTCATTTGCTTTTGAGAACCTTCAACTTATTTTTGGTGTGGAACTCTTTTATGGTTCAGCTTTTATAGTTCTGTCCTGGCTCTGAGTTGTTTAAAGGTGCTTTAAGGATGAATTTAAAAGACTAACGGTCACAGTTTAGTTAATAAGAAATTTGTATAATTCTTCTTAAATTCTGAATTGCTTGATGTTGATGAGATCTCTTTGAAATAGGAAGAGTGAATCCTCCTCAAAACACTGGAAGCCATTACAATGGAGAACTGAGTCCCTGAGACCAACACACGGCAGTGACATTTTCTTTCATGTTACGTGATAACTGCTCACACTGTTATGCCACCAAACCCAAATCTGCTTTCATCTTATAAGCCCATTAAAAACATACTGCTAAGTCTTCTATCAGCTTATCTTCAAAGTAATGTTCTTCTGTTTCAATCCAGGACTTTTCATATCCCTGAAGAAAGAGGTTGACGGCCCGATGCCTAAAAGATAAGCACAAGTTCAAAAATGATGTTGGCTTTTTAAAATAAATTAAAAAGGTACTCGGTAGTGCTTTCTCATTGGATTTCTGTGAACTAAAAACTAAAATAGAAATAAACCTCCCACTCTTGACTGGAGAAGCAGCCATCACAGAGGAGAGCACAAGATTTCTCAGACACACTGTGACCTGGGCTGAAATCCTGGCTCAGCCACTGTCAAGCTTCGTGACACTGGTAACATTACCTAACTTTGCCAACTTTCATTTTTCCTGTTTCTAAAACTAGGATAACTTCACATACATTTCAGTTTTATTAACTGAATATAAACTGAAGAGACTTAAACTGAGATAAAAAGTATGAAGCACAGTGACTAGCTGCTCATTCAATGGTAGCTATTATGACAAATTGGCTCTGGATAAACAGTGTAACACCTTATGACACGTATTCCGTGTTTGAGTTAACACAGATACCCGCCCCGAGGATTACAAAACAGACCGGAACGTGGAGGGGACACAGTTGCCTGTGAAATAAAAGAAGGCAGATCAAGACCAGAAGATCGGTAATCTCCTCATGAAACTGATTAGAGATGTGGATAAGGTGCCAATATAAGAAAACATGAAAGAAAAGATATCAGAAAAAATAAAAGAAGGGAATCATAAGAGAATATCAGAAGTGCTAAGAGGAGACAGTGCCATGGCAGGATGGGAAGCTGAGCTTCACGACACCAAAGGCAGACTAAGGAGTCATGAGACAAACAGTCAGGTTTATGAAGGGCCTTGAAAACTCGGGAGAGGGAGTGAAGATGCAGCTGGAACTGCTAGAAGCCACCATGAACTCCTGTGCATGAGACAGGCCTGACAGGGAAAGGCTCAGCCTCACTGACATCAGAATTGCTTGTGGGGCTTTCAAACAACACACATGATGCCAGGCCCCCGCTCCCCGCAAGAAATACTCCTTCAAAACGTTGAGGTGTGGCTATTTCTTAAGTGTATTTAAGCGTATTTCCTAAAAGCAACAGGTTTGGGAACCACTGGAATAAGGGATACGATTTTGAAAATGGCGTATCTGAGAGAGTGGAAGAGTAGACTGTGACATCGTAGAAACCGGCTCAGAATCTGCAGCATCGACCTGATAGGAGGCTCTAAGGGGTAAGCTGAAGCCACGGCCGTGAAGGGAAGTGTGGCAACGCAAAGTAGGTCAAAGGAACGTCAGGAAACTCCGAGAACGACTGTGTAGGAGTAGCCAGAACAGCAGTACGAATCCGAATTCAAGGTTAATGCTCCCTTTGACTAAACGGTGACACGGTAATTGAGTCAGAGAATTTAGAAGGAGTACATACACCGTGTGAGGAGAAAATCTGTATGTGTCAGACTCAGTGTGACAAGATGGCTGAGAAAACACTGGTCTTGGTGAAAGGCAAAGGTGAGATGTTTTGTTGTTTTGTTTTCGTACTCCCTGCCTTATGTCATTCATTCATTCAAACACTTAGGGAACATCAACATTCTAGGAGTGGAGGATAAAAACTTGAACATAACTCTAAAGCATCGCAAAGTCTGAACCAGAGAGACGAGCAGCCCAACACTACAGGCAGCTGCTATAACCGGAGGTATGTGACAGCGTCCTAGAAACAAGTAGGAGCACGCACAGTAGTCAGAAACGTTCTGAAAAAGGGACATCGCGGTGTTGAGTCCTGTTCACCAGCATGGGGATGATGTCACTTATATAAAGTTCAGACAGGGAAAGAGCAGTTTCTGAGGAGAACAGCAAGAAGGCTGACATGGCACCCTGGGACACTGAGCAACTTGAATGCACAGGATACTTCTCTGTGAACAAATCAGACTACTCTGGTGAGACTGTGAAATGTATTCACTTCATTCCCATGAGTTAGCTCCATATCAGCTCTTTTCCCCAACAATCACAGAAACAGTAACAATTACAATTCACTGTGACAAGCTCCGTTCTAAGCACTCTGCCTGTCTGGACCCCTTAAATAATTTCAACAACTCTGTGATCACCTCAAATCATAGTACAGAGAGAAAACTATAATGAAGCCAGGTGAGGAACTTGACCAATGGCATACGGCCAGAAGCGGAGACACCAGGGCCCCACTCAAGGCAGTCTGACTCCAAAGCATGAGTTCCTAATTATTCTACCTGCCTCACATCAGTGAGCTGATCTTCCTCCGTTTAAGCCATTTAACAATCACATTACAGACCACAGTTCTCTGAGAGGGCCCAACAGAGAGAAACAAAGTATTACACGGAAGAGCCACTATATCTTTTCCATCCTTCTCTGCCACCATGGTACTCATGCTAGACTCCTATCGCTTACTAGGGGAAAAAGAGCTTTAATCTACTGTAAATATTTTTAAAAAGGCTGACCTTGGCAGGTTATATAAAGGGGCCATCCGGAAGCAGGCCACCACTGCCCTTTTCCTCTGCTTCGAGAGCAGCTTGTGCCACACGGCCTTCTTCGATCTCTGAGGGTGCTCCACCTGGGGTAGGACGACACAAAGAAATCAATACGGAAACCCCAAACTAGCCTCAAGACTACAGCATTAAAAAGCTATGCCTTATAGGTAAAATTTTTTGAAATTTTAATTCTAAGGGTACCTTAGAATCACGGAAGAGTCCATGTCCTAAAAGTTACCCAATGCTAAATTTGAAATGGTTTCAAACGTTACTTATTTTTTCTTAGTAAAAATACAGTAGTTCCCAATAGTGTGTACTTTCGAAGCTATGTCATCTCCAAACTCCAAGAAATGTAAAACCATTCTATAAAAAATCATTTTGCATCTTTCTCAGAATTTGGTTATTTCCCGCCTATGCATTTGTATCCATTTTACTCCATCCAATATGTATTCATTTTGACTGATTTTATTATGAGAGCTACAGCGATAAACATACATAGAGGTGGTTCAAGACAATTTCAATGAAAATCCGGTTTTTCTGTAATATAACAGGATGGAGAGAAGATGACCAGGCTTCAGGAACACATTACTAGAAGTAAAACCATTTAATTTTGCAAACATGTTAAACTATATAACTATTTTGTTAGATAGGGACAAATGAGAATTTAAAAGCTGCAGTAAATGATGCAAGCAAACTATTTAGCTAATGGTATTTAGAACTCCAAGGGGAAAAAGAGATTAATTTTAAGTATTAGAGGAAAAACGTCCCCATATGTAATTCCACATTAATTAGTAATCTCTAGGCAATTGAACACGGTACTTCCCATACTGTAATATTTCCAGCGCATACATGTAGATCTCTGGAAGAAATAAAAATGTTACATTAGCTAAAAAAAAAAAAATTAAATTTATTATCCTTTGCAGTAAAGGCAATATATGAACGTACTAATGCCTGAAGAAAACATTAAGAATGTTTGTACGACAGTTTATAAATTTTAACGCAACTTGTATAAATTCAATGTGCTTGTTTCTGTAACCCTCTTCCTTCCATAGGATCAAGAAACACGTTTTGACAATTTTCCATTTCAGTTTTTTTCTCAATGACTGTGTTAAGCAAAATAAAACATTGTTGAGATTTAGCACTGTGGTGAAAACAGAATCAAGGATAGGACCATTCAACTAACCCAACCCATTTCAATGTAAAGTTCCAGTTTGAGATCCAAGACTGGAAATGGTAGTTTTTATGGGAATATGGCACTCTGATCAGCTTGGGTGACAGTCAACAAACATAATGAAATGCCTAGACAATGAAAATACACGGTGGTGAACATGATAGAAAGGTCTCTGCCATCTCATGAAGCTTACCGTTTGGCAGAGAAGTTTATTACACAAGGGAAGACCTTAAATAGTGAGTTTTCCTATACATCAAGTAAGATCTGCGGTCCATGTGTCTTTTAATTGTCTGAATACCTAGAAGTGTTGACTTAGCTACAGTTTTTGAATATTAGGAAACTCCAAAGAGATAGCTTACTCTCGTGAGAAAAATTACCAGATATACAGTACAAACTATACATTTGCAAAGGTCACTGATACTTGAGATAAATTACATCAAGTATTTCCTGTACACCCATTGATTTTGCATTGAGTTTAGCAAGTGAAAATATTCTTTGCAAACTGACCTCTAACTCAGTTGTAAGTTAACATTTGAATAGGGGTATTAAAGGCATGAATTCTACACACAAATATCTTCCACTCTTGTCTATTCTTTGATAATCAATGCTTTCTTTGTGCTCATATCCTTAACATTTGAAGAACATTTGGCCTTAAGTACAATCTGACTCCCTTATCTTTTCCTAAATAATGACTACTTCTCCTTTAAGATTTGCACAGGGATTACCAACTTGACAACTAGATTCCAGTTGGACTTTTTATCCTCTCTTCATATTTCATATCCCAACACAGCGATCTCATTACATGCTTATCTATGTATGTGTCCACATCCTGTCCTGGAGCATGAGCAATTTGAGTGGAGGGGCCCTATTATTATTCAGCCCCAGGGCCTGCTGAGTGCAAAGCTGCCATGCAGAAGTGTGCTCAAAAAATGTTCATGGATGAATGGGTTGTTTAGGGAAATGAATCCACTGCTTCACAAGTGACACCAGTCATTCTGGTTGGGTAAATTCATGAATATATAATAAATGGATATTGTGAAACACAATCAGATTTCAATAAACTTTAATTAATCTATTTCAAATTCATCCAAGCAGATCCAAATATGTGCATGAAAGCCAAGATGAATTAAAAATTATGGTAATTTTCCCAGAAAGAGTCCTCCAGTAGCCATTTAATGAACCTTTAATAATCTTCTTAAACATGCATATAATTCGGGAAACACAACTCTATCGCTCTGTATATCACTTAAATTTTATTACCTCAAATTTTGTCATTTTCTGATTGATAATAATTGATATTTATTTTTTTAACGAAAATAAAGAAATGCTGAGTTCCCTATATTACATTACATTATATTACTAATATTATGGTGTGACCTAATGTAAAAACATGTTGGGAGCCATATGGTGTCAGAGTATCCTGGTTTTATCTCATCAAGTATAGTGATAAATTATATGGCACTGGTGTATTTCAAGTGGCCAGGGTAGGGATGGAAGATCACCAGATAACATAAGACAGGAATCAAAGAAAAGTGTCTATTATTGCTATACTAATACATTCTGAAGAACATTTAAGTGACAAAGCTCCTGAGATGACACCGGGCATTTTACTATTTTATTCAGTAAAATGCCATGTCAGGTGGGCACTGTCATGAAGGCCCAGTGACGGGTGGCACTATTGGCTCACACTGACTCTCTCACTCTGTGATATTTTCCTGAGTGGACCTCGTGGGAAATATAGACTCCATCTCTGTGTCGCAGGTATAGTCCCTAACCCAGGAGATCCCTTATACCAAAATATAACCCACTGACTGATAGTCTCAAATATCATTGGTTTGGCAATTCTTGAGCAAAGGTAATAAGTAAGAAAATCAAATACACAGTGAGATCTCTAGTTTAAAATAGGATACAGATGAAAAATTATATAAAAGCACTGTTCTCACATGGTTTAACTATCAATGCATTGCTCTCCTCTAAATGGAATTTATTGCTGATCTTGTAGAAAATTAGCTCACAAATATTCTGACAAAAGGAAAGGTTAAGCAAGTAACAAAAAACTTCAAGAATTAAACCAATGAGAGAGAGTATCTCAAACATGTTGTTCTGTGCAGTAATAAAAATCATGAGTATAAAACATTTGAAATCAGATGTAACTCCTGAAATTTTTGTTACAATTATTTAAAATTAAGTATATAATCCTAATTATACTTTTAGAAATATTTTGAAAAAGACAATAAAACAAAGGCCTTGATCTCTCAAAATACATTATTTATATATTGTTGCAAAAATTATAAGCTAGAAAATTGTGTTTATTATTGATAGATACTAAACACTCTTTAGTCATATATTTTTTATAATGACTATGCTGAAGAAATATATACTTTTGGCCCATAGTTGACAAATTAATACACATCCTCTTTTTAAAATGTTTTTACACAGTTAAAGCAAATATGATTGAATCAGCACAAAATCTAACCTGCTCAAGATGGAAAAGCACATTTGCTATGTCCAGTACTCTTTCCACCGTCTTCTCAGGATCGCAACTATCTTCAGTCCTGTTCGGTAAGTCTTTATAAAGAGCCATTTGCCATCTAATAGCAGGATCCTCCAACTGCAGAACAAAATAAAAAGTTCAGAAAACCTAAGTATACGATGTAAAGAAGGGGAGACCTACTTCTGAAGGGTAGATCGACAGTTATATACTGAGCACAGCACAGTATCAAAATATGCAGAGGTCAAGACAGAGAAGGGCCTTGTACTCGTGAAATTTATCATCTGGTGGGAAGACAAACATTAAACATACATTTACAACTGTGATGAGGAGGGTGCTAAAAAATATATATATGGTACCATGAGACTTAACCTGTTGGTGGTTGGAAAGATTTCCCTAAACAAGTGAAGCTTCAACTAGGGTTTAAGGATGAATTGGAGATGGTCAGGGAAAGGAAAGAGGCAAAGAACTTTTATCTTTTTCTTCTCTCACAGTCAAACCCTGAAAGATGTACGTATTTACTTTCATAGGAAATGATATAGGATCATGTTTATCTGTAAACACAGAAACTCTACAACAGCCTAGTCTCACTTAGACAAAAATACCAATTAATATAGATCAATGGAGTGCTATAAAATCATATTCTTATAATAAAGGAGTCTACACTTTCTTATTTTAATAGTGTCAAATTTCCTGAGTGAAAGATGTAGCTGAATTCTGTATGTTTTCAAGAAAGGTTATTATAAATCATAGAAACTAACAAATACAAGCATCTTAACAGGGGATAAGCATGCTGCTTCAAAGAAATAATATAGACTATTGTCATTAGAAATGGGCAAAGCAAGCCCTGTCTTTCTCCTCTCATTTAAAATCTCCATTAAAAATGGGAGACTGAGTGTTATGAAGCAGAAGTAAATGGACAACATCGAAATATTCACAACTCCTAGTCTAAGAAAGTCTAGTTTGTAATGTCAAAAATAACTTTTATCTAGAGACACAGAGACAGCACTTTGTACACTGAACAACTTATAAACACCAATTTGTCCTTTGATAAAACAAAGTGCTTTTTCTGCATATACTTTTTTTCATCTGAGGACTGTTTGGTGCTTCTAGATTTTAATATGCATACCTACTTATATTTGGCAAAATAATTACAACCTTTATTCTCTCTAATATAACATTACTCCCCCTGTCTCCAGGATTTTTATTTCTGTAGTTTCAAGATAATGTATTCAAGAAGAAGCTAGGGCCGAGAGTCCCTGGCGACAGTGTAGGCTGCAGCCCCTGCTGCTGTGGGCTGCCATAAGCTACCGTGTGTGGCCGGCAGCCAGCGTGAGCAGCCAGCAGCCGGTGTGAGCGGCCAGCAGCCAGTGTGAGCTGCCAAGAGCCGCCGTGAGCAGCCGTCCAGAGGCCGGCAACCAGTCTGCCTCATCCGGGAAGGGCGCAATGATGGTGCCAACTTGAGCCAGTGAAGCAACATCCTCCACAACTAGACTGAAGAACAAAAGGACAGCAACTTGTCTGTTCCCCTCCCCCAATTCCCCAATAAAAATCTTTAAAAAAAAATAAGCTAGGAACAAAAAAAAAAAAGACTTCATTTTCTTCAAGTCTATATATCTCCATAATATGTGTGCCTAACCCGCAGCATAAGAAAGCATAGAATGAAATGCCCAAAAGAGAATGTATTCATTACCCCTTTGTCACCTCATTCATTTGGAGGTGAAATATTAATTACAAATGTGTTTCCCTTCCTGCTCTTCTTTCTTCCCGACTGCCCGATACACAACACAAATTGTCCAAAGCATTCCTACAAGTAACCTATAGAATATAGTGGAAGAATTTCCTTTTGTTCTTCCCAAAATAACCTTTTCCATTGGAGCATTCCCTGAAAGCAACATAAACCCCTTCTCAAGAAACACGGACGTTTCCTGCCTCGATGCAGCAGTGCTTGTCCTAGATCATGGTTCCCTCTGTGTGGCCTCGAGTCCCCTGGGGACTCTGAGGACCTTTCCAGGGAACATGAGCTCCTCACACACTGTGCATGTGGTGTAAACTCTTCACTTGAGGTTCAGCTGGAGGCTAATGTACATTTTTTTAAATGCTCAAAATGTTTTTGCTATCTGGAAAGAGGTGATGCTCTACCTAATAGGAATTAATCTACTAAATATATGAGTACACATGAAATTTGCTTTAAATACATATTTCTGTGTTATACACATTATAAAGAGAAGTCTTGCCTTTATCATATTAATTCTAAAGTGTTAAAAGGAAAAGAATGGGGTTTGGAAATCTTTGGGAAAGAGCATTTTAATACCCAGAAAGGCACAGATTATACTGTAGTCACCATTTGGACATTTTCATAATAAAAAAAGAATTCCTCAGAAGGAACACCACAATAGAAGCAAATAGGCTGAGTCAAAACAATAGACTTCCTACATTACTAAACAGGTTCTATTAACAAATTAATAATTTATTCCCTACTATGAAACAATTTCCAAATAACAGTATACTTACTGGATTACAAAAGCTACTTCTAGCAATTTTTTTAACCCACTATGAAGAAGTAGGTGTTATCTTTGTTTCCATTTATGTTTTCTTCTAAAGGTATACTTGCTTTTCTAAGTAAATTCAATTATTCCTATTAACGTAATTCTGAGTATCGTCAATGTACTAATGACTCTTAAATACAGCACACATATCTAATTCCTGAGCAACAGATGTAGAATTTCAAATTCTTATAGACACCTATCTCCATGTCCCAAAGGTCCTCAAATTCAGTTATACGAGTATGAAGGAAATTTCCAACGTTTATTTCAACTGGTGACATATATTTTCAAAGTCTGACAATCTCTGATGATCTATTTTAAAAACACATAATTTGTAATCATGAGTCTTTAAGACAAAAGGATTTTCAAGTATGACAATGACTGATTAAAATAATATATTTTCACCGATTTACTTGCTAAAGTAACATTTGGAGTACTATTCTGAAGAGAGATTAACTAATGTATAGGTACTAAACGTGCTTTGAGTACATTTGGCTTACCTTGCCTTGTAAATGAATATTACTGCGGATGATATCACGTACTTCTTCCTCGGTGTCTTTCTGTCAAGAAATAAATGTTACTGAAAAGACATCTTATAAAGCATTGCCTGTTACAAGTCAATAGAAATAATGCAATGCAAATCTTTCAAAAAAGTATATTTCTGAACAAATATCTTTGTAGGATTTAAATACATGCCACAAATTTGGGGGTCTCTTCCAGATAATTTCTTGATGCTGCTGTGACTTAAAACAGGATAACCACCAACTTTCACGCCACAGCAAGTGCATTAAGACTCAATGGAACCGAGTTTCCAGTTCATAACAAGGGTGCCAAAAACATGCTGCCTGGGGTTCAAATGGAAATAAGTCACCAGCATTCCCCGCACACCTCCACAAAGTACTTTGAGCACTTAAATAACCCAGTAGTGAAGGGCACGCCCTGAGAATCAAATATTAGACAACCACCAACAAAACGGTGCTCAGTCTCCACTCAACTTGTTCATTTTGGAATGTCAAACTCCGGAAGAACAGAGGGGCGCTTCAGAATATCCGGGGTGGAAAGACTATGTCCTCTGATATACATAAATATAAAACAAGAACACCAATGAACCATTTAGAAAAACTGCATCATCAGCTGCAAAGCCTGAAGATGACCGACAGAAGCCGTGAAGAAATCAAGAGAGCTGAAATCCTGACGCTTGCTAAGAAGAGCTGCCGATTTAAAAGTCGACAGCGTAGGGTTCCACAGTCAGCGCAACACCTTATGCAGCTAACTTTGAAAAATCACCCTTCATAAATCTCAATATACCTCTCATCATGAATTCTATGTAGGAGTTCATCTGAAATCCATTTTTTTGTTTTCACTACCTGCCACTTGTTTGTAGCTTTTCCATGTGGTTCCTGAATGTGCCCGGAGGGTGGTTAACATAATTTAGAAATAAAAATAGCCTCAAAAAAAAAAAAAAGAGGCAGTGTTTGTATCTGACTCCTAGGGCCTGTGCAGAAAACCGCTTAATAAAACATTTAATGCCACTGAAATATTGGCACTGAGCAGCGAGACTAAGGCGTGCAAACACTGGGAGGCTGCAGGCGGAGGCATCATCGCTGGGTGTGGACTTACCAGGCTAAACCGGTTTTTGGCCAGCGCAATGAGCTCCTGGTCTCCTGGGGCACAGATATTCAGCCCAATGGGCAGCAGCCGCTTCAGGGCCGCCACGATCAGCGAGGTCTGCATGGAGTAGCGGTCTCCTTTCCGCTTCATTTTCTTCCGCTCCTGGTCGGACACAGCCGCCTGTGGACCAAGCGGAGGGTGGGAATCGGTGCTTTCTCCCAGACCTGTGAACCTTGCCTAGCTTGGTTGTGGTTTCGTCTCCCTCATTCTCTGCTGGTCCCTAGTTTGGAAAATCCTACTGAGAATATTTTTCCTATTTCCTTCTTCATGTCTTTGCTGATTTTAAGCCCTACTCTCAGATTCCTACATTCATTACAATTCACTGGTGTGCACCACTCTACAATTTTAAAAGGAAAACGCACATTGTCATTCTTGAGAAGCATATGGATATGTGAAAACTCCGTGGTAATTTCTCATAGTGTATGTTTTATAATTTCCGATGCTGAAGAGGCAAAGAATTAAGAATAAATGGTTTATGTCTTGTTTTGACAAATCCCTGCTTTTCAATGCACATACAACACGGTATATATAAAACTATCATAAAATACATTGCCTTTTATATAGTCTACAGGCTTGTGTCCCCAGGGTCTTAATTCTTATCTAGGAGAAGCACACATAATATGCTAATTGGTGTCATGTAAATATCTGAGATTATCTCTGGGTGACCTGTTTACAATTGAGGATTGCCATGCTACTTGGGATTTTGTTGAAGATTATGCTGGAGCCATAGGCTCCAATGACAGAGTCTAATTTTCACTGAGTAGTGAGTATTCTTTCTATTAAGAGGGTATGTTCTCAAGTCAAAATTAAAATAATCGCCCCATATCCACTCCTTTGTGCACGTTCAATTTCTTTGTAGGAATATATCAAGCATTAATGATATTTTCATGATACTGACATATTGTAATAGTTTGAGGCTACTGAGAAAAAAAAAAGAAAACAGTTTAACATACAAATGATTTGCTTTCCACAAAGGAAGGCAAAATCTATCACAACATGATATTGGAATAAGTTTTTCACATAGTGAAACAATTGAGTCATCATACAGTAATGGCAGCTTATACATATTATATTGTGTTAATTATATAATATATTACAATATATCATTAATATATAGTATATATTGATACATTATATCAAACCTATAATATTTGAACCATAGCAATAAGAATCACATTCACTTTCCAAAGAGATATACTTATTAAATAGATCCCACTTTTATCTGTACCAATTTGTAAGAGATTATTTTCAGTAAGTTTGGTAGAAAAAGCATGGTGAATAATAATTTGTACTATTAAATTGATTGATTAACCCATAAAATAATAAATCAGTGGTTTTCAAATGAGCTCCCTGCTATAAAAGGAAAGGTAACCGCAGTGATAAACATGATTACTCAAATAAGGAACTACCATCCTAAAAATTAAACAAATTGCTACAAAGTATACAAACACATTTCTGTCCAATCATGGCAATGTAGTTACAGCAAAACAATATTACCCAATACATTAGAGTCTAAATTTTATTGGGGCTGGAATTTTCTTTGATTTTAACTTGTTTCTTTTGGTTTCTGGTTATAGAAACAAAAGGGGCTTATACCTAGCTTGATATTTATAAATATCTAAGTGACCTTATAATGAAAATAATTTAAATCAATGCTAAAGACAACTATCAATTGCTCAATTTTGAGAACATTACATTAATTCCTACTCAAATAATAATCTTGCTCTCTGTGCCACAGGAAATTTGTAAACAGACCAGTTAAGTTGAATTTTTGTACATGGATGGTGTCGTCCACTGCTAGTATGAAGAAACTAAGTCTACAAGTAATCAAATATGCTCATGATCATCTTACTGGTTGGTTTTTGTTTGCTTGCTTGGTGCCCGTTTCGTTCCTTTTTGTACATGCAGAATGGCCTTGCCATAGGAGCTGCTCAATAATTTGTGAATTGAATTTGCCTGATATTTCACTTTCAATGTTCCCTAACATTCGATTCAGATATGAATATGCAGTAACATGGTCAATATGTAGGCATGTTTAAGGGGACAAGAGACTACACTGGCCTGTCTTAAATCAGTCTAATTCAGGAGTCTGGGTGGGTGTGTCTGCTGCGATGCCTCAGGTAGGCGGCTCAGCTCTTGTCACAGGAGTCCCTGAGGCTCTGCATCTCTCTGTTCTCAGCATTGTAAGGGTAACATCTTGCTGTTCACTTCAGGTGTGAGACCCAGGGTCACCCACCTGTTTTCCTTTCTGACACTAGACCTGAAAGTGTAGGTCTGAGAGAGAAGTCCTCAGCCCTGACTACTTCCACTTTGGGGTCCCTCATGCCACCTGTGATGGGCAGAGCACCTCAGAGATTCTGCTAAAACCGCAGGTAAGATGCTGCTACAACCAGCAGTGACTCTCAGATCTGTCCAAATGCTGAAACATACGAACACCATGATTCATTTAATGAAACAATGGAATACACTAGTGTATTTGGCTCACTGATTGAACTCTAAACACTATTTCTAGGAAAAAGTTCATTGCACTTATGTGACATAAAATTTCAAGCACATATGCAGGCAAAAACAAAAAAAAATTAAAAATAAAGAAGCAAAGCATAATCAGTAATTTCTAAATTTTTCATCAATATTACTGTTATTTGCTATCTATCTTGTCTCACAGAGTTAGCATTCGTATGGTAAAAAGACTATAGGGTTTGGGGAAATTCTGGGGGAAAAACACTAAAACTGGAGGCTTCTGTCCATTATTCTCCTTTTTTTCCCTGCACATAGGAGTAAATGTTACTATTGGTCGATGCTCACAGACGCCTCAGCCTAGTTTATAGGGAGTGCAGTGCTCAGAGCTATGCTTCGGGCATCACTGGACTGGAATGGTGGGAAGACGTCAATCCCGTATAGGACACACAGACCTCGCTCTGAAGTCCCTGCACTGTCCTGAGTTTGGTGACACCCTGGAATTACTATCATCCTCCCAGAGGACACACTGGCCTCTTACATGCCCTCTCAATGGCTTGGTTACCACTGGCCTGAACTGACAATATGCTGTCCAAGCAGAGAAATTCACTAATGGTGTTCAGTTCAAAGCATCGTGAAATGGAGGCCGGCCAAGTGGCTCATTTGGTTAAGAGTGCAAGCTCTGAGCAACAGGGTCACCAGGTCGATTCCCACATGGGCCAGTGAGCTGCGCCTGAGCTGAGCTGCTGCTGAGCTGCCAACAGGTGGCAGGATGGCTCAGCTGGTGAGAACGCGTGCTTCTAACAACAAGGTTGACGGTTTGACTCCCGCATGGGATAGTGGGCCAAGCCCGCCCACAAATAAGATTGAACGCGGCACCTTGAGCTGGGCGGCCACGAGCTGCTGACAGGCAGCCGGATGGCAACTGGACTTGAAGCTGAGCTAGCTGCGCCCTCCACAACTAAGACTGAAGGACAACTTGGCTGTTCCCCTACCCCAATTCCCCAAAAAAATCTTTAAAAAAAAACCAAAAAACATCGTGAAATGTGTCCTCTTGGGATAGCAACCTTGAAGGAGCCTGTTCTCACTCTTTAGGTGATTGTCAGCCCCGAGGAGAGAAAAGGTCCCCTCCTTTGTGTGTGTTTCTGGAGCACGGTCACATGAGAGATGAGCCTGCAGTGCTCACACAAGTGTGCTAGGTGCTTCAGCCACCATTACTTTCCGGCTCATGTCTAACATGGTGACTCCGTGGCCTTTCAAACCCTAAATAAGATGAGGGCTACTGAGGGATGCTAGTGTGCTGTCCTGGGAGTCGCCAAAGCCAATCAGGTCACAGTAAAGCAGGAGCCCCTCCCACAGGAGTCCCCTCCCCATAATTTATTGAGTGGGTAGGGTCTATATATCTGGCACCTATAAATGCACATATATTTACTCTTGATGAATGCAGTGGTCCCCCTTCTCAGAGGTTTCACTTTGTGTGGTGTCAGGTGCTTGTGGTTAACCATGGTCCAAAATGTTAAATGGAAAATCCCAGAAATAAAACAATTCAAAAGTTTTTTTGAGAGACAGGGAGACCACATTCACATAACTTTTATTATGGCATATTGTTATAATTTTTCAATTTGATTATCAGTTTTGTTGTTCATTTATTACTGGGCCTAATATATAAATTACACTTTATCATAGGAAACTATGATAACATAGTGTATCTAGGGTTCGGTACTATCCGCAGTTTCAGGCCTCCATGAATATTCCAGATCTTGGAATATACCCCCACATATAAGGGGAAAGAGGGTCACTGTACATAATATTGACTAGTTATATGTCTATTTTGTGAGGGTTTGTATTAAGCGCTTTTTTTTATTCTGATGCTTTGACATCTTGGGGTCTTGTTGATCCTTGACTGCCTCCCTGCCAGGGCTAGTCAATTCCTAGAGATAGGAAATTACTTGACTGCAAGTACACCTTCCAGATACAAAACAACCAATACAGAGTCCGTATTCCCCATCACCTTTGACCTGGGCCTCAATCCACCTGCCCCAATCACCCAGGGCCAGGTATGCGACAACAAGGGACAGTCCCTAGGCCCCCGAGCCCTGGAGTTATTAACCTAGCCAAACCTAAACCTGCTTACCCTGCCCCACCTGTTCCTTCCCGCGAAGCCACAGTACAGGGTGGTGTCCACGGTTTCCCCTCACACCACCTCCGGACTGACCCTAGGGCATCCCCACACGCTCCACTATACACCATGCCTCTGTATCTAGGGAACTGTGAGTAAAAACTTCCTTCACGACAGTCATTTCTGTGCCTGCTTGTTCATACCACACGTGAATAAATCAAATCCTGGGTGCCCTCAAAGCTCTGTGTGTGTGTGTGTGTGTGTGTGTGTGTGTGTGTGTGTGTGTGTCAGTAAACATTACCATATCTATCAAATTTCAGATACAAACTTTCAAAGACATATTTTTAAAAACCAACCAATGCAAATTGTGTTCAGGCATTTTCTAGAATAGCGAAACACTAGCGAAATACCTTTGACATCTTTGACTTGGTGTCAGTGATGAGGAAAGACATGTTATTGATTTCATTCTGTACGACGAAGTTCTGCTCTTCTCTTTTGAAATTCTGAGAAGGTGCAAAGAAAATGTTAGTTAAAACCAAATAAAACTAATTCTAAAAAATGTGTATTTCACAATAAAAAATAATTTCAAAAAAACACATAGCTAAGACTCCATGTGATTCAAGGTTGCTCAGGACCCAATAGTTTCTACAATGATAAGTATTAATTTGATATGTAAGATTTATCAAGAAAGGGAACGACTATTTGTTGAATATCCAATGAGGGTGCCTGGTTAGGGGCAACAATTCTGGGAACTGGATGTAAATACTTATGTTTCAAAGGTAAAAAACTCAGGTTCAGAAAACTTAAGTAACAAAGACACACATCTACCAAGGGCAGAATGAATATCAAGCCCAATTTAGTTGGTGAGTTAACCAAGGATAAAAAATCTCTGGCTTTTATCTACTGGAACATAAACAAGCTAAAAGAATTCTGTGACATCCCAGAAAGTGAATGTCAACGTGAAGACAATACAAATCCACATGTTAAAAAAGACACTATTTCATATATTATTATATTTCTGCATGATGGTATTTTTAATGTACGTTTTTACATACATTTTGGTATTAAGTTTAACAGACTCCTCAGGGTAGGCAACAAATAATAATTGCAACCTAAATAATTGCAACCTAAATATGAAGTATGAAAATTTTAGTTTTTAAAAATATTACATTTCCAAACTAATCTGATTTGCATAACAATCTGATGAAATAAACTAGGAAGACACCTCAGAGGATGAAACTGCAGTTGCAGTGCTCATTTTTACTTTCTCAGAATCTCCCATTTACAAAGCACCATGAAATTAAAATTGATACAAAAATTCTAAGCTTTTGAAATAATTTGGAACAATAATAAATCCTCATTTACCCATATTCTGCTAATTACTGAAAATTATAGGGTACTGTGAAGTTCTTATGATTAAAATCATTTTTAGATTTAAAAATAGGTAGTTCTACTTGCAACATACAAAATACTGAAAATTCACTAAAGTTGCACTTTATAAATTCTATCGACAGGATTCCCAGCAGGAGCTTTCTTTTGTTCTAACAGGGGAGCAAAGCTAAATTCCTACAAACGAAAGTGTGACAATGATAGAACAAATTGGCAGAAGTAAAACAAGTAAAACAAGACTATGTCAGCTGTTCTCAAACTGAGGCTGGAGTATTCCCGGGACAGGGGATGGGGGGTTGGAGGTAAGCTAGCAAAATACCAACAGGAAGGGAAGGTTGCAGGATAAGAATGGCAGGTCTCCATGTCCATATTCCCCTAAGATTTAGGGCAATAATAAAATGTGTGTATAGACTGCAATTAAAAACCCCTGTGATTTTTTTAAGATAAATGACAAGATTCATAAGAAATTTTATATTGTCTTCAACTCCCCAGGGGAAGCTATCATCCCTCCTCACCAGTTAAGAGACACCTAGTAGGCTAGTTTGAGAAATACTTCCGTAGGTATTTACCAAGGGGTTGGAAAATCGGCTAAAGTTTTGACATCCCTTAACATATTCCAAACACAAGGCACTGCCCATATTTTCCTACTCACGTGGGATTTTGACCAGTAGATGAACACTTCAGCCACCATGCGGAAAAGGTCCTCCGCTTCTGGGTTAGGCTCTTTGAGCCACTTTGCCCTGAATTACAAAATAAATAAAGTGGTTTCTCAGTTACAACGTAATTAAAAAAAAAAAAAATCATCACCCTCCGAAAGTTAAATCTGAAACCAAGAAACTAAGGGCAGCTCCTGCCCAGAGAGCTTAGAAGCCTCAATCAACAGCTGTTAACACTTAGAACCATTTAAACATGGTAACTGTCAAATTGCTAACTTTCACCTATAAGGCGGAATGGGATTTCTGATTGCAAATTTAAGATGCTCAGTGGAAATAAGCTTATCTATATAAACATTTGGTTAAGTTATAAGGGCAAACAAGCTCATCGCTAAGTAGTGAGTGAAATGGAGCGATTCAATCGGCACATACGAACGCAGTGAGGTCATGATAGAATAAGAGACATTCATCACTTTTGAACATTATACCTGTTATAGTCCACAAATCTAATCAGAAGAGGGTAGAAAGCATAGAGGTCCCTGGCCAGGGTGGTAAATTCATCCAGAATGAGCAGCTCAGCCTCGGACATGTCCCCCCTGGCCTCAGCTTTCAGGTGGTCTTCCTCAGACACGACCATGGCTGCCTTTTTCTTGAGTTTCTCCATTAATGGCAAGAAATGAGTTTTCAAGAGCTGAGGTTTCACTTTATTTATAATAGGCTGGGAAAATACTGTTTGAAGACAGACATTAATATTCCACTCGGCACAAACATTCATTATAATGAGCACAGACTGTAATTTCAATTGCAGCTCAATGAAAGCCCTCTCTTCCAGTGCGTGGCTCCCTATAAGAGTCAGCCCGGGCCCCTGTTTTCCAGTCAAAAGCCTAATTTTATATACTGTTCAAAAACGATTACCGAATTGAATTTGATGTGCTTCCTTGTTTTTGAAAAAGGACTGACAGTTAATTTAGAATAGAAAAAAGGACTTTCATTCACTTTGCAAATCAGTTCTTTTCCCACAAAGAATTCCCCAAATGGAAAAGGTCTCCCAGCCATTTCCTTAGAAGGGGTGCGCACTGCTCAATAATTATATGAGACGATGTGCAGTCCCCTCACTTAACTGTCCCCAACCCATCCCAATGGAAGAGTTGTTTTACATAGAACACTGCTCGTTTGTTTCATCACAGTTGCAGTTGTTAGCAATACTTCTAAACTTTATTAGAACATTTTTAAAAAGATTTTTCCCTAAAGGTGACATATTATATATACACTGAGGAAATGTATAAAGAGAAATGTTACAATCAACCATAATCACCCTACCTCAATTAGTATGAGATTGATGTATTTCTTTTGCATGTTTATAAATAATTGCATAAATATATATTTAGATGTATTTCAGAACTCAACTTTTAAAAAACTCTTTTTTCATCCTCTCTCATATTGTGAGCAATTCTCAAGTCAGAAAACACTGTTGAAATCTCACTGTTGAAAGATGCATAATACTCTGGTATTTGGATGTGTAGCCACACAGCAGAGGTGAGGCATTGAAATGGCTTCCGATTATTCAACAGAAATCATGCAATGGTAGATAAACTGAAATGTGAACATTTGACTGTATATTTTGATCATCCTCTCTCATTCCCAGTAAGACAGATTGCTAAAAGTGAGTTGTTTTAAATCCAGTTCTATCTTTGTCTCTGTCTACAGAATAATTAGTTTTTACTGCTGTGTTTACTGATTCATCTTAGAGAGATTGTCAAAACAAGAAAATGTTTACTTACTTAAAAGGAGCAATTATATGGAAAGTTAATCAGTGTCTGATATGTCTACTTTTTGAAGAACAGCATGCTATTTTTAGCACAGAAGAAAATGTAAACAAAGACTAAGAAAAGAAAAGTCTAGTCTAATCTGTTTCAAATCTTTTTGGAAATAAAACAACTTTAAGTGGTACATTCCTTTCCAGTTCTTACCTGCTAACCTCTTCATCCAGGCTCCCTCATCAATCCCCAAGTTATTATAAATGATTTTCAATATATTCCCCAGAAGGGTGTTCATGTGCTCTGAATTCAGAGCCGTACAGCACATTTCAGCCCTTTCCGGGTTGTTCTCAGGTCCGTGTTCCCACCAACGGGACATGTAGCTACAAAGCATGGGCAGGATGACCTCCATCACGTGTGGCATCTGTGTATAACGAATACCAGACTCGGCGAGCTCCACAATCTCTTCCATGAGCTTCTCCAAAGACGGTATATTTGGGCAAACATCTTCCACATTAGCTGGCAAATTGAGAGCTGGAGGAACATGCACAAAAATAAATCAAAGAAAGAACTGATATGACCACCAGATTCCCACTGCAGATAAGAGCCACAAACAGCCATTTCATTTGGGCTTCAAAACACAGCACGGCCGGCATGTCTTCACCTGGTTCCTTCTCCCTTTCTCACAGCAGCAATTTCAACCTTTAATTTCCCGAGTGCCTGCCCTACCACCCACTCCCTTAAGACCAGCAAATGGGCTTCTACCTCAGAACAAACACGAACGTCCATGGCTCTGCCTATAAGCCTCTGCCTGGTCCCACATTCAGGTGTGACCCCATTTAGAGGAAGGGGTTTGAGGCCCCCGCTCAGGGTCCCACCTGTGTTCCCGCAGAGCCGACCCCACAGCAGGGGCCATGCTCAGGCCTGCATTTTCAGCCCCTTTCTCTCTGATACCCCCGTCCAGCAGCCTGACATAGGCTCACAGCTCTCCTAGACTGCGAGCTTTCCAGGCATTCTCCTAGGGTCTCGGCTTCTCCTCATGCGCTTCATTTACTTTCACAATCCTTATCTTACTGTCACAGTGACCTTTCACGTCACTGACCAAATTCCCTGGACCCCAGTCCCCCCTTTCCTAACTTCTGTGCATGCAGTCTATCATGTCTACTGTCTGAATGGTCAGTCACTCTTTTCTCCTTGCAGAACTTTTCAATGTCAGTCTTCTTTAGGGATCTGTCTTTAAGTCTCTTCTATTTGGGCTTATATGTTCACCCAGGCCATGTGGGCCATTCCTAGGGGCCCGTGCTATAAGCTAACAATGTTCAAAGCTATTTGTTTTACATTTTTGGTGTCTAATGCTGGAATTCTCAAAAAGCAACTAAAACACCATGGCTCTGTACTCAAACTTGACCTTTCTCCTCCTTAACCCAACTCTTGAGCAAGTTGGTGGATTGGTGATGTTATCTAATCAGTCACGCAGGCTAGAAACCTGGAGCCATTTTAGGCTGAGATGCTCCCTCATCCTGCACATAGCGTAATTCCACCTGCAGGGTCTCTCATCACATCAGTATCTACGCCACCCAGGCCTTACTCAGTCACAGCAACTCTGAATCGCCACAGTCACTTCCTAGTCAGTGACTCTTCCTTATTTCTGCATGAGGGTCTCTAAAATGCACATGACTCCCCATTTTAAATTGAGGACCGGGCATTTAAATTGTTTAAATGCATGTTCCTGGAGTTTAAACCATTGAAATCAACTTTTATACTGTGTTTCTTTAAAAATGTAACAAATTCGCTAACTATTTTTGTGAACTGAAATTTTCAGGAAATAGTCACCAAAGACCCTAGTAGTGCTTGAGGGTGTGATACTTCTGGCGTGATTCCCCCTTAATGTATAGACGCCAATTCTGCATCACCGGTCCACAGTGTTAAAGCCAACCAGAGGATCTTCTTCGTGTTGGTACAGTCCCCACGCCTCACCTGACACAGGCAGCCTACCTCACCTCTGCTGGCTTTCCACTCATCTCCCCTTTCATTCCTGTCTCTCCTGAAAGCTCTGGCCACACCTCAAAGAGCTCAAAGTTTTTCCTGAAGTACCAGTATTTCTAATGCAACATTCATTGTGCGCCAACTCTGGGAAGTCTTTCCAGGTGATCTGCTAACACTGCTTTTGTGTTCCCAGGGGTCTTTATTCTGAATTCTACCCTGTGTATTTATCAGTCTCTCTCCCTCTACTGTAACTAAAACTCCCTGAGGCAAAGAATCAAATATTCATCTTTGAATTATATCTCTTCCACCTACCACAGTGTGCTTCACAATTATCTGTTGAATGACTGACTAAAAAAAGAAAATATGAATGAAAGGGGATGATTAAATTCAATTCCTTTATTTTGTTATGCAAATGAAGTGTTATAGAAACCTAAGCAGGTAAATTACCAGCTCTGGGTTATTCTTTATCTATAAGGAAAGACAAATCAGCTTCATTCTTCATTCACAGCTAAACTATTAATAGATCAAAAATCCTAAATAAGACAACTTAATAAGACATGTTTATGCAGGTGATTAATAATTCAAACTCAACCATGTTTTACTATTTACAAATATATTATGCAAATTTTGTAGAAAAATAGTACTAAGTCACATTCAACATATTTTTGTTTAACCTCCTCTGTTGTAGCAAATAAAAATTATAAAATAGGCAAATTAAACAACAATGCATGTTCATGTTTTTAAGGTTCTTTATTTGATAAAATACACTATCCCTGCCAATGTGGTCAGCAGCTCCCATGAAAACATGAATTCCACATAGAAACAATCTTAGCCGCGGGTTACACATTTGTGAACAGCAAAAGGTTCTTGCCTTATAGGAAATCAAACATAAAAATATAAGAGGGCACTTATGTAAAGGTCAGGCCTTGAAAATTCTGTTTGATTGCTTTAAATGGCTGATTAGAGGAATAACCTGCTTATTTACTATTTGTTATCCAACTCAATTAAAACCCTAGTAGTTAATTCTAATAGATTCAAAGGCCGATCCTTGAAATCATCAGCAATGGTTCTAAAAGCTTTTTCAAGTGGGGCCGTGAAAAGAAATGGGCTTATTTACCCAGAAAATAAGCAGATTCTCCCAAATGGAAAGTGACATGACACGTAAGTATATGTAAATACCTATTGTATAGAGACATACAGATCTTAGGGATATACATGCTAAGGTCAGATGCAATAGAGAGTCATTGATTAATTGTTTTAAAGTTTTATAAATGACAAAAATTGGACAAAATTTTTAGAAAAAAGTCACATGGAATAAAACTGTCCGAATAATGTAGACATATTTGGTGAACAAAGAAAAATAGAAGGGTACAAATCCGTAGAGATAATAAATAAGAACATCATACCCTTGCTGACTATAAGATAATTAAATAAAAAATCAGAGTGACCTACTTTTTAATATCTGATTATTTTGTCTTAAGTGTTAATATTTCTGTGGCACATGAACTTAGAAGACATCAAACTAATTTTCTTTCAGAAACACTACAGCAATAGTATTCAGCTTTCAAAAAATTCCAAATACTAACACATAAAGAGCCAAGAGCATTGGAGACAGTGAACCAAAATGGCCCATTAAAAGTCACTGTAAGAAAATCCAACAGCCGCCATTAACCTTTCGCTTCCCATCTCAAACCCTGCACATGCGCCCACATTACCTGCCCTCTCGCGCGCAGACTTAGTGTTGTAGATGGAGTAAACATTATGTTTGTCGAGATGAGTTTCCAAGAAAGCCACCGGAAAAGCACCAGCAAAGGCAGCCAGACATTCTCCCAGTGCGGAACGCTGCCTGTAAGGGGGAAACGCTTACGGTTTTTATGTCTTCCAGGTAAATAACTGAAGTTATACTATATAAAAATTGGCAAGTTTAACCCCAAAGAGGGATGGTAAAAGTGCTACAAATAAAATCAACTTCCAAATGCAACTTCTATATTGAAAAACATCATATGCTTTCAATAGCAAGGTCCCTGCCATTTAAAAAAAGCTAAAATTATCTGCTACCTAAAAAAAACTTAAAAACAGACCAAAATAAGAAAAACCCTGTAAACCCCACAAGCTTGGACAGTTCTTTTTTTCCTTTTTTTAAAAACAATGACCTATTGAGGAAGCATTCTTGCTGTGTGAATATAGATTAATAAAAATTAAAAAATGAAGTACTAATACTAATATAATTTTATGAAAATTACCACACGTAAGTAATGTAAGTAATACTAGGACAGCTATGAATATTAAGACATACCAGTGCTAAAAGCTATTGATAACTCTTAAAATTGATTTGTCATTTTCAAGGGAAGGAAGATGCTTAAGGAATCAGATTGGGATTAATTTATCCAGAGCCCAGGCTCCTCTAACACAGATAGAAATGGTCTCTCTCCCTTAGTTATCAACTCAATCCAAGGTTTTACTGGCACATTAAGTGTTTATTAAGTATAGAATAAAATGAGAGTTATTTCAGCCTATTATGAACTCTTTAAATGATTTTATATAAATATTTCAAATGAAAAGTCAATAAAATGGATCTAATTATAATTAATTCTCTTGGGCAATTTTAAATTTCTTTTTAAAAACTATAATACTTAAATTTAAAATGTCTGATTATCTAATGTTTTAATTTAAAAATGACTAGGTACTTAGCTAGTAGAAAATGTCCCTTCATAGAATGACATTGAATAAAATAGAGTTCAAATCAAATACTTATTACCATGTCATTATTAAAAACAATTGAGGACATTGTAGAATTACAAAAGTCACAGGTTTTGATTCAGACAGACCTGAGTCCCAATCTTATTCCTCTCACACCACTGTAAGAAAATTACTCTTTCTAAGTTTTGCTTTCCTTACCTAAAAATGGGGATACAGAATTGCAAAATTTCAGGCATGTATGAGTTCAATAAATGTTTTAAAATAATGATAAATAATTTATTTACGAATTTAATAGCTTAAAATGTTTCACATTTGACCTCAAAGTAGGTAATTTCTTCCCTCACATCTGACTACACTAATCCTTTCATTAATAATTCATTTGAATTATTTAATATACATTAAATTTTTGATTCCATTAGTAATTATAAGACCAACTCTGATCATTTGTGTTGGTATTCTGGAAATAACAATTTTTCTTTTAGATGACTGTACTAAAATATCTACATTTTTATTAGTATAGTGTCACTTTTTCATATTTTTCAAAATATCTTGTACTCATCTTCAAAATTTTGTTTCTATATTCTCCTCAAATCACTTTATAATTTCAAGATATATACATAAATACATACATATATATATATATATATACACACACACACATATTTCTGATATATAATGAGAAACTGTACTAGCAGATTCCTGCATAAGACATAAACACTCAAGTTTAAACTTTATATTAAATATGGTCTTTACAATGATTGCTTTCCTTTTTTTTTCATAACTCAGCTATCTTTTATTATATCATTTCAAATTTGGCTTAAAGTTATCTACTCACCCCCAATGAATTTAATACATGAACCTGGTTCTTTAGTTTATAATTAAGGGACAATTTATAAAGTGGAGACTCTTGAAATAGTTATAACACTTGAAACAGCTATGAATACAAAGGGAAATTTTAAAATCTTACCTTTCCACATAAATACTCTTGCTAGTACCCAAAGCATATAAGCTAGTCAGAATTCTGTAACACGATACCTGTACCTCTTCCACTAAGGAAAAAGAAAATCTCACATGAGAAAAAATACTTGTTATTCACACACTGTCCCAAGGAAGTTTAGGCTAAAAACAAAATTCCATATCGAAGGCACATTAATAGTTTAGCATTTGAAAGAAGCAATATAAGAACAAACATGTAAAATGAAATACAAAAACTCATTCTCAAACAAAATTCTTTTCTTCGAGGAGCTAGAGGTGTCCTAAAGAATCATGCTGTGATTATTCAGAACATCATCAGGAACAATTTTTTTATAATTTTTCTCTAGGTATAAGAACAAAAGATTTCTTCAAGAATAACATTAAGCACAAGAATATCTGGGAGAACTGGTAGATTTTGACTTCTGTTCCAAGGTATATAAAGCCTGTCTCTTTTATTTTAAGTCTCAAATGAACAAGCATGAGAATGCTGGAGGATAGAGTATGATAGTTATTTCTGAAATGACCTGACATTTAAGGGTATCGACAAGTCACTCTGGTTGTTTAAAGCTAGAAAATCAAATAAAACCTCATAATGATCTATGATCCAATAAGACAAGTTTCAAAGGCAAGGAAATGAAGAACCTGGGATTTCTAATTCTAACTCTGGTACCATTTCCTGGAGGAAGCACCGTGATGTGAATGGAGAAACCAGCCTTGTCCTCCAGACCTGTTTCCAGGTCCACACTGTGCTTCTACTGGTTCAAATGTTCTGCAGCTAATGGCTATGTCATCCTCATCCACTGAGTGACACAGTGGTTTTTATGCAGAGCTGCACTCACCTGAGGGACCTACAACACTGAGAGTCTCAGTGGCTGGGTCTGCAGTCGAGACCCACCTGACTGCTTGACAAGGGCTCGTATCTTCTCTCATGTTCACATCAGTGGGCAAGCAGGACATCAGGGCAGGTCATGTGCTATTTTCTTTTCACATAACCTTGGGCATCCTGTGGATATTTTTAATAACTACAGCATTCCAGCCCCAAACAGCCGATTAAGTCCCTTTTGAAAATAGACTGAAACCTATACACAGAAACCATTTGCACCACCCTAGTTAACCAGTTATTCAGACCCAGACTTTTTCTCAGCATCTTCACATTTGTTGGGAGTCCAGCTTGTGGAAACAATATGCATCGACTTGGAAATGATCTGAAAACATTTCATGTTGCATGTCCCATGGTCAAACGGCATTAAGAAATGGCCATGGAGAGACACAACATAGAAACAGTAAAAACCTTGGAATTTGTACTTGACTGTGGAAGTGACTGCCCATATGATTCAGTAATCCATCTCTGTAAGAAGAGTTTCTATACCTCAAACATCAACCGATAATGTTCCACAGAAAACGCATTTTAATATGTAATCCAGACATGACTTTCACAATTTCTGACTGTATACTACTTAGATAATGAAACTCTAATTAATAGATTTACATACATATCAGATCTTCTCCGAACTGATGCTGGCCAATGTGCTCAAACAATGACGACAGTATGGGCAGCAGTGCCACCGTGGTGTAGTTGATAATCTGAGTGACCCCTCTGGGTTGGGTCCGGGTGTGGGTGAACTGGCCCTGCTTCAGGTTCTCCATGGTCTTGTCCAGGTCCTCAGCGGCATGGTCCAGAAACGCTCTCAGTGCACTTTTCACGCTCTCCAGGCCAGTCTTCATGACTGTCCTACGAAGTACATATGGGAGAACTCACACCACACGACAGGGGCAACTGGGCTCCAGATAAAACAGGCTCTGCTTTGTGTACGTGTGTCCAGCCAACATTCACTCAGTCAACTACATTTTCAAATCCACTCTCAAATATGTCCTTTCAACGTACTTGAAGTTACAGCCCATCGCACTCTGTAAATTCATAACCATTCCTAAATTCCTTCAGAGTCAACTTAAATCAGACCTCAGAGCAAAGGGTAGGCTAATTGCTTTTTGTTTCACCCCCAGTGGCCTCAAATTTTGAGAATGTTTATTTTATAACTAACGAAACACAGCTTCTGAGCAAGTTTAGTTCATCTCAAATCCAACACAGCTAGAATGTTTCCTGAGGCCATGGCTGTGAACGAAACAGAAGGCCAACTAAACCAAACAATATAGATAGTTTGTGCTTTAAGGTAACAATCAGCCTTTCCTAAATGAGCCTCTGAAGGACAAACATTATACAAGTGACACTATAAAGCCACTATTTCTAGTAGAAATGAAGGTGTATAATGGCATCCCCTTTCTTCATTTAGTATGCAAAACCCCTCAAATAATATTTTAAAGACAAAAATGGATAATCCAAGAATATCATGGACTATTCTCTGTAGGAGACATTCAGAAACTTTTAGCTAGATTTATCCTTGATAATAAGTGAATTTAATGTATGGCTTAAAAGCTGAATCAATCATGCTAAACAGATTGCTTTTGTAGTTAGTTCGCATGTTGGATTTGGGGTCACGTTGTTAGTAGGGCAGAGAAGAAGGGGCACAGACTCCCCAGGAGCTGCTCTACTTTCACACTTACTGTGCCATCTTCAGCTTCACTTTACTCATCTGTAAACTGAGAATAAATACCCATGTTTCCTATAAAGCTGTTATTACAAACGTGGAGAACAAGCATCATGCCTAGATGCTAATACAACCTCTAGAGTTGCAGCTCACCAGATTTACCTCACGGTACATCCCAATTCAGCCCGCAGGCACATACTGAGCTGCTACAGAAAGTATGTGAAATTTAAGTAATAATTTATATATGATCATAAAAATAATAAAATGCCACTGTTTTAGTCATTTACAAAAGATTTTCTTTTCACGTCAAGTCATTACCACCACCCAAATAATAAATCAAGACACTAGGTCTGTCTTAATATTCTTACATATCATCATTACCCTCACTGACGTATAATAGATAAAAACATATCCATTTACCTTGCATCCAAAGTCTGACCCAAAATATGAAGACAGTTGACAATTGACGTTGCATCGTTTCCTGAAGGGGAAACAAAATGCTATATAAATTGCCCAGAGAATTGCTCAGCATTCTTCTTTTCTATTAATATCTGTGTCTTAAAAATTAGTCCATGGCACAACTCAGTAATAATAACTCAAAAAGATTTTTGATAATCAAGTTTCAAATCATGCAGTTGTTCTGCTTACAAGAGGTTATGCGAATGTGAGTAGAGAAGCAATAAAGCAGGTCTCGTCAAGTAGCTGACATACTCAGGAAGCGTTCAAAGCATTGCGCCAGGCTAACGGGCTTTGATTGGGTTCTTCAATACATCCCCTGCCACACAGCAGCTCATCTTATTTTTAAATCATCTTGTCTGACAACTCTTTTCAAGTCAGCTCATAGCCTTTATGAAACGAGGTAGGCTAAAAGTCTAATAAATTGAATTCCACTTTCATTACCCCAATGTCTCTGCTTTCTTATTGCATTCAACTGCATTATGATGAATTAATTTGCCTGAATGTTGTTGGTCTTTGGTGAAAAAGCACTGAGCTATCATGTGAAACAGCATCAGAGGCTAAAGAAGTTAAATTTGACTTGCATGAGATATTTGAAATGGGGGGCATTGCTCTTGAAAGAAAGAAGAAATTCACTCATTCTGATTGGCATATTTTGTCATAAAGTATAGAAATAAGAATTATATAATTACTACATATATTTTCCTTTGTGATAAGAAACAGAAAAGCAAGTAAATAAAATGATGAGATCCAGAGTTACAAAGTGATTTGCTCATAATACAATTTGACATTACGGCTTCCTCATTCCGTAATCTATTATACATATAACATAGTCGTTTCCTGGGTCCTGAGTTAACAGCTCATAGCTAAATGTAAGTTTTTATAATATTTGAGTGTGTTATATTCTTTATACAAAAAAGGATACTAAAATGAATGAATTAAATATATGTAGAAATTAATTAGAATGAGAGCAAGCCAGTTTAGTGATATGATACAAATATGGAAGAAAAAAACACATTTATTGCTAAGACTCTGAGTTCTTAAAAAAAATTCCATTCATCGTGTGCTGCATATTTCAGAATATCTGGTAATAATGAAGACAAAACCAGCAGAAGGGCAGAATTTGTTCTGTCCCTACTGGCTGGTGGCAATCTTAGGGCTTGCACTGTAGCCCCTGGAAATGTTATTCATTTAATTATTCATTCACTAAATAAATACATGTAAAATACAAGGGGCTCTCAAACTTCCCACAATAAGCAAATAGAGTTCTCATGGTACTTGCATTTCAGTGAGGAATGCAGATAATGAACTATTCACCAACAATTCAATATGTGGTGTAGTATCAGGCCACAATAAAAAGATGCAGCAGGGGTACCGGCCGAGTGGCGCGTTGGTTAGGAGTTGGCTTGGGATGCCAGCTCTGAGCAGCAGGGCCCCGGTTCAGATCCCACATGAGGGTCAGTGACGCTGTGCCCTCTACAGTTAAGATCGTGAACAAGAGCTCGATCTGGAGCTGGGCTGCCATGAGTCGCCAGCGATGGCGTAGGCTGCAGTGGGGCTGACCAGAGGCTGGCGTGAGCTTTCATGAGCTTCCACGGCTGTCCAATGGCCGGTGAGCAACTGCCTCACTCGGGAAGAGCGCAATGATAATACCAACATGGGCCAGTGAAGCAACGTCCTCCATAATTAGACTGAAGAACAAAAGGGCAGCAACTTATCTGTTCCCCTTCCCCGATTCCCTAATGCTGTTCCCTCCCCCAATTCCACAATAAAATCTTAAAAAAAAAAAAAAGATGTAGCAGGAAATTGAGATAAGAGCAACTGGACAGAGTAACAGGATGAGTGACCATGAGGCCACCCCAGGAAAGTGACATCTGAGCAGAGAGCTGAATGAAGCAAAGGAACCAACCATGCATATATGTGGGAGAAGGGCCCAGCCAGAGCCAACGGCACGTGCAAAGGCTCTGAGGCAGGAAATGAACCTGGTGTTCCAGGCAAGGAAGTCAAGGTGGCTGATGTGGGCAGATTCGGGGGAAAGGAGAACAAGAGATGGACAGGAGGGGAAAGGCCAGGTCCTAGACAGAGCCTTGCAACCAGAGCAAGAACTTTGGGGGTTTTTTAAGAGCAATAGGAAGGCAGTGTTAGGTTACGAACAGGATGGGGTTTACTTCATATCTTAACAGGATTCATTCACAACGCACAAAACTCTGGAAAGGGTGAGGGTGGAAGTTGGTTAGGAAGCTACTGCAGTAGCCTAGAATCAGAGGACTGACGACGGAGAATGTGGATCAAGATATGAGCAGTGAAGATATTAAGAAGATAGTTTAAGTGTTTGCTTTTGGGCTAAATGAGAGGTGAGAGGGACAGGAGACAACGGTAACTCCAAGACTGTTTGGGTGAGCAGCTGCATGAGCAACGGGCAAATGGTGATGCGATTTAAAGATGGGGAGAGAGGCTTGAGAGGAGCAGAATGTGGGAGGAGAGGATGGGGGTCCTGTCCTCTGCTTTGCACAGGTTAAATGTGCTGCGTCCATTACTCTCCACAGAGCTGCGGAAGGGGCGATGGATACAAAAATCTGCAGTGCAGACAGCCATCTCAGTTGGAGCTATACATTTGGGTGGGCATCATAAGCATATAGGTAATTTTTTTAAATCATGGGCCTAAATGAAATTAGCCAGCATGAGTATACACAGAGGGTGCCAAAAACTGTATACACATTTTAAGAAAGGAAAAAACTGTATCAAAATTACACTGATGGTAACCACTTTGAGCACCTCTTGTAATTGCAGAAGTCAAACGTGACTTGTATTCATCTTTTGTTATTGGTATATATTATTACAATTTCAATGCAGTTTTTAACTCTGTGTGTGTGTGTGTGTGTGTGTGTGTGTGTGTGTGTATGGAGAAAAAAGGGCCCAGGACCTCCAATATTTGGGGCATCATAGATAAGGAGGATGCAGCCCAGAGAGTAAGGAGAAGGCCCAGGAGGAAGGACGGGCACAGGCAGCCAGTCTGCTCTGATGACACTATTATTCAGCACCAATCAGAGGGGTTGGTCCTCACTCCCTAACCCTCACAGTCCTCCTGTTCCTTTCTGAGCTACCGTCTCTTCATGTGAATGATCAGTATTTGCATGTCGTGCAGAATCTACCCAGGCCCTTTCCCACAGAATGGCCAGGGCTGTTTTAAACAACCATTTCTTTAGGATCCTGAGGCAGGATTTCTGTTTGCTTTGGTCCCTGACATGCCCCAGCACCTGGAACACTGTTTGGCATACAGCAGGTGCTCAATGACACCTTTGTGGAATGACTGTGGGGTGTGAGTAAGAGAGGAGGAAACAGCACCAGGGGCCCAGTGAAAATGTGTGTGGTGAATATGAGATTTCTGTGATGGTTAAATTCACAAGCTTTGTAAGCTCTGGGAAGCCAGGCATTTCAGGGCTCTCCACATTAGATGCAGGACCACTTTAAATGGAAATATCTCAATGTAAAAACAATGTGGAAGAGGACCCTAAGAAATGCAGAACAAAATCTTAATTCAATCTTCAACACTATTGTGTAGACCGAGCAGAAGCATCAATTTGAGAAGGCTAAACAATGGTTAGTCTAGAAGAGATAAAGCATAGTGACTACGGCTTTTTTTTTTATGCCAGAATATATTTATTATAGAATTTTTTTTTATTACTACGGCTTTTAGATGAAATAAAATTGCCCTTTTTAAGGGTATCGGATCACCATAATCAGAAATGTCACCATGCTCTTACTAAGAACAGGAAGGGCTGGTGAAAGTGTGGTAAGATGGTACAATTTTAAAAGGATGATTGTATGTTCGTGTATGTAACTGTATGTAATCACTTAACTGTTCTGATCAGTATAAATACACAAAGTTTGATACTTTTAAACTCATACTTTTTAAAGGTCCAAGCTACTTCCTGTGTCTTCAGCATAGCGCTCCTCACCTCTAAATACTGAGGGACATGTTTATGGATTCATCACCTATGTGTCAGTGAGACTGTGCTTGCCTCAGTGTGAGTGTGTGAGAGTGTGTGTGTGTGTGTGTGTGTGTGTGTGTGTGTGTGTGAGCATGAAATGTCCATCGTTGAAATCGCAGTCATACCCGAATCTAATAACCAATTAGCAGCACTGGGTTTTAAAACACATTGTACCAGCCTCATAAAATAATAATACCACTCTTTAAATAAAAATAATAAAGTTAATGCTGTCAGAGTCAAAATATCTTTTTGTATTTTAATCCCTAATTGTTTTGTGGTTTTTAATAGAAAGTTTCTATAACTCAGGAGTTTTCAACATTCTCCAAAATTTGACATATTATGTACTGCTTCTGTATTATAATCTGATTTATTGAGGATTATCAGAATGTTAACCCTGTCGCCTCTGGGAAAGCAGTAACAGCCATTTTAATTTTTATTCTTCTCTACTTTTCTTACTTAGCTCTTGATACAATATCTCTTTATGTTCCCTTCTTTGAAGACATGATTAACCTTGGCAGAATCAAAATTCATTTTGTAAAACAAAATTATGCAAAATATATTAAATTCTCTCAAAATTAGGGGATAGAGAGAAATTGAAGACTGCCAATTATTTTATTACTTCTAGAATCTGTGATATTGAAAAAAATAAAATCACTAATTTCTTTACTTGGTGAGATGTTTCCGTTACACTAAAAATAAATTTCAGATAATTATACACTCTTCTCACTTGTTCCAAAGTCAGGAAAGTCTCTCATAGTAATATGTCCAAATGAAAGGAACATCTGTATCGCTCTAATACTATCTTCTGATATAATTTTCATTATAGTGTCTGATTCTGATATTTCCGATCTAAGCTGCCTCTCCATAAGAAATGGGCTATTTTTTTATATAGATAAAAAACAAGTTAAATCCAGGAGACCCTTGTCTTGCCATGTATCCTGTTATAAAACTACAGAATTTTAAAGAAAGACCTTAATGATCCTGTAGTGATGAGTGACAACTGTTAGCAGGAGCTGGCTGCCTGATGGAACCG